CCCACAGACACAGAGACACTGAGCTCCACCCACAGACACAGACACAGAGAGACTGAGCTCCACCCACAGACACAGATACACTGAGCTCCACCCACAGACACAGATACACTGAGCTCCACCCACAGACACAGACACAGAGAGACTGAGCTCCACCCACAGACACAGATACACTGAGCTCCACCCACAGACACAGATACACTGAGCTCCACCCACAGACACAGATACACTGAGCTCCACCCACAGACACAGACACAGAGAGACTGAGCTCCACCCACAGACACAGATACACTGAGCTCCACCCACAGACACAGATACACTGAGCTCCACCCACAGACACAGATACACTGAGCTCCACCCACAGACACAGAGAGACTGAGCTCCACCCACAGACACAGAGACACTGAGCTCCACCCACAGACACAGACACAGAGACACTGAGCTCCACCCACAGACACAGAGAGACTGAGCTCCACCCACAGACACAGAGAGACTGAGCTCCACCCACAGACACAGAGAGACTGAGCTCCACCCACAGACACAGAGAGACTGAGCTCCACCCACAGACACAGAGAGACTGAGCTCCACCCACAGACACAGAGACACTGAGCTCCACCAACAGACACAGAGAGACTGAGCTCCACCCACAGACACAGAGACACTGAGCTCCACCCACAGACACAGAGAGACTGAGCTCCACCCACAGACACAGAGAGACTGAGCTCCACCCACAGACACAGACACACTGAGCTCCACCCACAGACACAGACACAGAGAGACTGAGCTCCACCCACAGACACAGACACACTGAGCTCCACCCACAGACACAGACACACTGAGCTCCACCCACAGACACAGAGAGACTGAGCTCCACCCACAGACACAGATACACTGAGCTCCACCCACAGACACAGACACAGAGAGACTGAGCTCCACCCACAGACACAGACACAGATACACTGAGCTCCACCCACAGACACAGACACAGAGAGACTGAGCTCCACCCACAGACACAGACACAGATACACTGAGCTCCACCCACAGACACAGATACACTGAGCTCCACCCACAGACACAGATACACTGAGCTCCACCCACAGACACAGAGAGACTGAGCTCCACCCACAGACACAGACACAGATACACTGAGCTCCACCCACAGACACAGATACACTGAGCTCCACCCACAGACACAGAGAGACTGAGCTCCACCCACAGACACAGAGAGACTGAGCTCCACCCACAGACACAGAGAGACTGAGCTCCACCCACAGACACAGATACACTGAGCTCCACCCACAGACACAGAGAGACTGAGCTCCACCCACAGACACAGACACACTGAGCTCCACCCACAGACACAGAGAGACTGAGCTCCACCCACAGACACAGAGAGACTGAGCTCCACCCACAGACACAGAGAGACTGAGCTCCACCCACAGACACAGAGAGACTGAGCTCCACCCACAGACACAGACACACTGAGCTCCACCCACAGACACAGAGAGACTGAGCTCCACCCACAGACACAGAGAGACTGAGCTCCACCCACAGACACAGAGAGACTGAGCTCCACCCACAGACACAGAGAGACTGAGCTCCACCCACAGACACAGAGACACTGAGCTCCACCCACAGACACAGAGAGACTGAGCTCCACCCACAGACACAGAGAGACTGAGCTCCACCCACAGACACAGAGACACTGAGCTCCACCCACAGACACAGAGACACTGAGCTCCACCCACAGACACAGAGAGACTGAGCTCCACCCACAGACACAGAGAGACTGAGCTCCACCCACAGACACAGAGACACTGAGCTCCACCCACAGACACAGAGAGACTGAGCTCCACCCACAGACACAGAGAGACTGAGCTCCACCCACAGACACAGAGAGACTGAGCTCCACCCACAGACACAGAGACACTGAGCTCCACCCACAGACACAGAGACACTGAGCTCCACCCACAGACACAGAGAGACTGAGCTCCACCCACAGACACAGAGAGACTGAGCTCCACCCACAGACACAGAGACACTGAGCTCCACCCACAGACACAGAGACACTGAGCTCCACCCACAGACACAGAGACACTGAGCTCCACCCACAGACACAGAGAGACTGAGCTCCACCCACAGACACAGAGAGACTGAGCTCCACCCACAGACACAGAGACACTGAGCTCCACCCACAGACACAGAGACACTGAGCTCCACCCACAGACACACTGAGCTCCACCCACAGACACAGACACACTGAGCTCCACCCACAGACACAGAGACACTGAGCTCCACCCACAGACACAGAGACACTGAGCTCCACCCACAGACACACTGAGCTCCACCCACAGACACAGACACACTGAGCTCCACCCACAGACACAGAGAGACTGAGCTCCACCCACAGACACAGAGAGACTGAGCTCCACCTGGCCACAGCGGTGACGTGGGCAAGCGCCAATGAAGGCCGGCGAGGCGCGCAAGGGGGCGGCGTCGTCAACGTGGTCAGCGCCACGACGTTCAGACTCTTTGTTTAGACTGCAGGAGGAATCCGATGAGCTATAAAGCTCTTTTTTTACAGATGTCCTGTCGGGGTGGGTCATAACGTTACAAACAATAAAAAAACACATCAGGGGTGCAGGGTAGAGGAAAGGTAAGCAAATCGCTAAAAATATATACAAATAAAACTAAACTATTTTACCAGGGAGAGCCCACTGAGTTATTCGTTTTTTTTTCAGAAGCAACCTGGCCACAAATGATAGCGCGACGAAGTGACTTAGCACGCGGAAGTTCCACATCGCACAGCCCAGGCGCTGTGCGATGTCCACACCACACTCCAGATGCGCATTTTAAAGCCGGGTCCATCGAAAGGAGACCCACACCAGGATGGCACTGCCAGCACCACTGACATTCACGGCCAAGGGTATACATCCAAGTTGGCAGCATGGTAGCAGAAGCAGATGAAGTAGTGCACCATGGCTGCCAGCACGCCCACAGATACACGCAAGTGCATCAGGCATTGCTGACGATTAGGTCAAGACAATGGCAGACGGCAGGGTAAATCAATGACGGGCGAACAGACATCAGGGTCTATTCCACAACATGTCGTCTACACAGAAACGTTACATATACACGACTAATTAGGCATCAAGGCCAATTTATATAGACTGCCCTCTGTACAATATTATTGAAGGAATAAAAATATATATAATGTAAGCACTAATGGACTACCATTGACAATGTAGTGGTCATTATTATCCCCAATTAAAACGATATCTCCCTTTCATCTCTCCTCACCACCCAACCCCAGAACCCCTCAACTCCTTTCTTGAGCCAAGTCACTCATTTCTGGCTGAGCGCACACGGGCGTGGCTCAAATTGATTGCAGGCACTGGGTGATTCTGGGAGGCACTCAATACCGCCTTCCGTAATCAACACACACACGGTTTGCGCCCTCGCAAAGAATGCACATGATTTACAATATTTATGCGTTCAGTGTGCGTTAATGAGGATAGAAATTGTATTATCTGAACATCTGTTGCCATTTAATTTCACCGTCTAGTGGTGCGTGCAAATGCAGGAAATATGCCACATGCAGTGATGTCATAAAGAACCAAGGCTTGCTTCGTTACCAAAGTTAAACCAACTTTGGGCAAGTCCATTCAGAATTAAACGTTTTAATTTCAAGCGGAACCTGTTGCATGCCCAGAAATTGACCAATGCAAGTGTGGCCAGGCAGGATCTGTGAGAGATAAGCCACAATCCTTAGCCCACTGTGACTTATTTAATGCAACAATTGCGGGAACAATTAATAAAAACGAGTTTGAGAACAGGCAATTGATATCCCAGACTTATACGTTTCAGACATTTTATGAGCGTACGGATTGCTAATGCACTGCGTTTGTAGTAAGGCGAATAGCACTTTTCAAATGGGCAATTAATTACATTGCAGCACATTGCACGGTAAACAGAGGCTGCTTCATTTAAGAGTAAAAAAATGTGGCTCATAGCACACTTCTCTAATCCCATTGCATCTTCCCTAACGAGATAAACAAAAGCAGCCCCTATTCCCTGCACTTTGCGTAAGCGCCTTTATATATATAGGCAAACGATAGCTTAGCTTCTCACTCGAGGATTCCTCAATCTATCTGGCCACATTAACATGCAGTGGAGATCACAGGCTACAATAAATTAAGCACATAAACAGCAATCTTTAAGCGACCGAGTGCTAATTTTTGGCTAATGGTGTTGCGGATGTGCTTACATGGGTGAAACACCCCAGGACAAAAACACTTTCCTGCGCAAAAGAGGACAGTCTCTTACCGAACGCACCGAACGCGCCGAGCGCAGAGAATACAAAGAGGGGTGGAAATGAAAGGCCCATATTACGACAAGCACAGCTTGCCCCACTCTTGAAGATGCTTTGTTTTGTGCACGGCGGAAACTATTTGGGCCAGTGTTTCTTTCCAAGGACAGCGATGCGTTATGTTCGTGAACGGATTTAAGCACATATGCGGGAGTGCTTGGAACACCTGAAGGAATTGAATGTGCGGCGCGTGAATGTGAAAGGTGCCACACTACGAGCAGGAAGACGTCGCCCACAGGCCCCGGCTGGGGCTGGAGACGGTCGTCGCCAGGGTCGTGGTTGTGCAGAGAAAACGCTGCGCGTCTTTAGGTGGTTGTTGTGAGAAAGACATTTGTTCGGGTGAATGTTCACTTTTTATTTTATTCTTTACAAAGATTACGCCCAATTGATTTGGACTCAAAACAACTGATTTTACGACCTCGTTTAATTTCTAATCAATTTAAACCAGTTTCAGTTCAGTTAAATTGACTTATAATCAAATCGATCTGCCTCAATCAATTATAGTTTTGCCCAATTAACGCGACTTGTTGATTATTGCAAATTCCTTCAGGGGTAGCACATAGCCAAGCCAAGTGAAATATGTTTGTTCAGATCCTTGCTTAACACAAACATTTTAATACAACACCGTGGACTCTTTCGTTTTACAGAACGCATTTTATTTCCAAAGGCACTGGTACATCCCATCAGATGGGGCCATAGTATTTATCTTTTTGTTATCCACATGTGGTCTCTGAATATACAAAGCCATGCATTGGTGACAGACAGAGAGACACGTTGTATCCTGTAAGAAAGTGTAATATTTCAATACGATCACGTTCGTGTATAGGTGCACACACGTACACACATATATCAACCACAGACGTAATTGTTGAAATTTCACACGCAGAATTGCACGTTTCACCAACCACGAGTGTGTATGGAGCTGAACTGGTGACTGGTTTCGAGGAGCTACTGAAGTATCCACCGATGACTTTTAAGTGAAACGAGACACACTGACGCCTCCGCATTACAACAAGGCTGAGTAAGGCCAATGATTGCAAAGTGCATAGCACAAGCCTTTTCTTACCTGAAATTTACAAACGACATTATACCCACGCACACCCTGCGTTGCAAGAACATTTCCTTTTGATGCTAAATCACTGAAAACCTTCAAATGGAACCCCCCCCCCCCCAACAAAAACCGAGAGGCAGCCATCTACAAAACATCACAAATTTTCTTCCCTAACGCAGCAAACAAGTGTGTGCTATTTTATCCCATCACCTCCTCCATATTGCACCCCTCGCCTCTTAAACCTATCTTCGTCAACCACCTTTCGGTGGCGGCCGGGCCCGCCCAGCCCGCTCAGCGCCGCCCGTCGTTGATGATGATGTTGGCCGTGACGAACACGATGCAGGAGGCGGCCCAGCCCAGGATGAAGTAGGCCCAGAGGCGGTGGCGAAAGGGCGAGAGGTGGGTGCTCTGTCCGCCGCGGCCCGGCAGGATGGCCGCCACGTGCCGGCGCGAGGACAGGGCCAGGAAGGCGGGCGTCACGTACTGGATGCCGGTGCCGGCGTACGCGCCCGTCACGCCCACCAGCCACTCGAGGTCGTGCGTGAGGAAGGCGATGACCACGGGCGGCAGCACGGCGGCCAGCGGGAACACCACGCACTCCACCAGCCAGGGGTACGTCGTGCCGTCGCGCTTCACACGTCACGAGCACAGCGACCGCGCACAAGTCAACGGGCCGCTCGCGCTTCACCGAAGGCACGGTGCAATGCGATGGCAATTACTCATCGTCGTGTGAGATCGCTGCCGCGACGTCACGTTTTGGCGCGCTGCTCTCGCGATCCAGAGGTCTCCGGCAGCTGCAACAATCGAGTAAGTTTCTTAAATAGTACCGACTCTGTCCACGCCGGTGTATAAATATAGTTACTCGATTGGTAGGTGGGGTAAAGACGTGAGAGAGTAGGCCAAAATAACCTATGGAGAGGTTTTCTTGAACTTTCTCTCGTGGAGACCCTTCAGCCGGCAGTGGCGTAAGCAGCCAGTTGCAGGGCTGCACCTTAGCTTGCTGATAGCCCCCTGTCAAGCCATTGCCGGATGATGGCCTTGTCAGTCGTAGGAGGCATCTTTCGCTATCCGTGCCGGTCAGTGCGAGTTGATGAAAGGGGGCCCAGAAGTGGATCAGACATCACTCGCCACTCGCTGTCGTTAGCCGTGGCTTGGGAATTTGAACTGGGGCCACGGCAACACCTCCACAGCGATAATTAATCACATGCAGAAACATCATGCCACGATATCATATACAGTAAGTGTCTTCAAGAAACCTTTTGCCAGGCAATGCCAGGGGGGACAGCGAGCGAGGATGAGAGAAAGTGTGCGTGCAAAGGCATTCGGTGTAGACACGAGCGGTTGAGCAGTCACAAGCAGTGACACCTAAACGGTCATCACAGACAATGGCACAGTAAAAACAAATTAGGCAAAGATGTAACATCTGATGAGGTTCAATCTTCTCGTCTGTCATAATCAATACAAGTGACCGAGCACAGATTTTTCAACCGATTCGCATCATTTGTACTCAACAGTGACGTGTCAATGATTGATCACGTTGCACGCAATTCTCCATGTGTGAGTCTTGCATGCCTGAACAGTGAAGCGGAGACAATAATGCTGAATTTAACTGCACAACTAGACAGCGAATTTTTACCCCCTACTTAGTACCGTACACAATGCAGGCAATGCCTCGTCAAGTGATGGTCTGTGGCATAGATGAGTTTTTGCAATCGCAGCGCCGTACAATAATGATCAGTCATTTAGCGCGTGTGGTATTCGTGCCACTCTCATAGCACAGGGCTATCACGGAGGCGCTTTGTTTCACCGACAGATTATAGTGCGCCAGTCGGGGGTGACATTGCCACGTGTAATCCCAATTGAGTAATCTGCGGTGTGATTTTTTTAATTCGGTAAATGTGGACCACTACGCCAGCACGCAATGGCCCGAGGCATTACGTCAAAGGGATCTCTAACAATCACTGTGAATCAGACGGCGTGTAGTGCTTTTACGGTTATTACAGCCGCAGTAATGACCAGGGTGGCCCGCCAGAGTTGAACCACGAGCGGCAACCGCGCTACCGCTAGCTGACTGCGTCACCGGCCCAGCGTCACGCGAGGGCGGTGTAGGCCGAGAGCGAGACCCAGCTCGCCTTGCCGCCCGTTGAGCACGGCGCCCGTGATGAAGCCTCGCGGCGATGCGGCGTGATTAAGGACGGTGCCAAGAAATATGGCCCGAAGTTTTGGGCCATTTGGTCCAATTTGGGCGAAATGTCAATGAGCACCCTCCGTAACTGGAAGAGTGCACAAATTAACTCTCAGACGCTGTGGTTTCTGGCCTCTCTTCAGTAGCCGAGTATTTTTGATCGAGCTGGTCCCACTTTAGCCAGTGTAAAAAGTGCGCGTGACTATTTTTCGTTTAAAGTTTATGACCTTGGAATTGAGCACGGTCTGCTGGAGTTGTATATAGGGTTGCTAGCAATGTTGGATTCATTAACAATCCGTGAGAATAGATTTTCCCATTTTTTATGGCAACAAAACAGGTGTTAAGATGTTAAAACACCAAACTGAAACCTTTTACGAGGAATCATGTCTGCATTAACCACAATGCTTGTGGTCAGAATGAAAACAAAAAACGCACTCTGATGATATATCCATTGTCTTTGATAATGATTGGTCCACAACAGAGACAGCTTTCTTTTGAGCCTAGTCTCAAAACGGTGTTTGACCAGAGGACGCCAAAAGGTGCACACAGCTCAAAGACAACGCACTATCAGAGTAATGAGGGCTCGGGGTGAGCATCTACATCATGGGACCGCCTTTGCCAGTACCAACATATGAGAATAGGTTTTCCCTGTTTTGTTACCAGAAAAAAGGGGAAAACCTATTCTCATATGTTGGTACTGGCAAAGGAGGCCCCATAATATTAACAATCCGTCGATTGAAAGATTTTAAAAAATCAACACATTCATCAATTTAACTGCACCAATGGCCCGTCTTTGCGTCAAAAAACACCTACGATGTATTTTTTCATTATTGGTCGTGTTATTGATTAATGTGCAGTCTTTTGTTTAATTGTGCTTGTGCATCACTGCCAATGCAGCGTCAAGAACTAACGTGTCAATTAATATTGATTGCTGAGGTCGACAATGAATGCATAAAAAACATTTGTATTAATTCAAAGTACATCAAAATTATGTTCCGTTAGATTTAGAATAATGGAGCAAACATAACGGGACGAACAGATAAAACTAAGAACAACACAAAAATGGGAGGTAAAAGAATTGATACTTGAATAGAAATTTGGCATGAATCACGACAATTTATCAAATTGCAGAGGGCAAGGAATGGGATGGATCGATATCCCGTGGTGGCGATGCTCCACCATGGCAACTTTATGGAAATTGTTGCCGACAAATAGCAACAACAGCACATTGCCCATGAGCAACAGTGGCAACTTGGCGGGAAACTCAATGGAGTTCTCTCCCGCCAATCACATCAACGTGGAGCTGAAATTAATCTGCTGAAGCGGATCAGAGCACCATCCTGCTTATCAGGACTCATCTCTCCACACAATCACACAAAACCCCATCTTCACAACCACCATACTATTACAGCACCTCATCACCTCTCGACAAACAACACGGTCTCTCTACACCACCATGCCACCACACCACGCCATCTCTCAACACACCACACCACCAAACCACCACCAGCACTCTCTACACATCAGCACGGTACACCATCTCTCTACACCACCACCACCACCCCATCTCTCTACACCACCACCACCACCCCATCTCTCTACACCACCACCACCACCCCATTTCTCTACACCACCACCACCACCATCTCTCTACACCACCACCACCACCCCATCTCTCTACACCACCACCACCACCCCATCTCTCTACACCACCACTACCTCCACCACCCCAACTCTCTACACCACCACCACCCCAACTCTCTACACCACCACCACCATCTCTCTACACCACCACCACCGTCTCTCTACACCACCACCACCCCAAGTAACTCTCCACCCCCCGTAACCCTGACAGGCGTTGGGAAGTCACCGTCGGTGATTCCTGGGTCTGCTTCGCGGACGCCTAAAACCAAACTGTCCCCACGCTTTGTTCACGAAATACCAATGCCCTGCAATCCACAAGTGCCGTTGTCTTCTAAACAATGAATACGTGATAAAACCATTGCGTGTCATGTATAGTAACATACCCCGATGCATGAAACCCTAAAACAATTAGTCTGTTCAGCAATGACGATGAAGCCATCGCAGTGATGGATTGTGACACCGCCAAGGATTCGTTGATTACGCGCGTCAGTTTGTGTTGGGAAAATGTGTAAATTGCACGTACGGTGCCCTAATATACTGTATCTACAGTATGCATATTAACATGGGACAATCTCCTGTTTTTATAGTTCATGTGCCAATGTCCTGTTAACTACATTTTCCCTCCGTAATAACGTTTTATGGGTCAGATGGCGTACAAATAAATGTGTCGTTAGTTACACGATATAACCCAAAAAACCTTTATTGTGAATAATATTGGCCGTGAAAGCCTACGTGTTCAATTTGCCATGACGTTTCCCAAATTGAACATTGCAAGATGCCTTCGTGTACACATGAACGGCAGCGAACCTGTGCATTAATGGGCATTCTTAACACTTTGTAAAATGCAGGTTATTGCGAATATATATTTTCGAATTGCAACAGATTCACAAAAAATCAGTGTTGAAGGAATTTGTTTGCCGGTGATATAAGTTCTGTTTTGGAATTAGAGGGTTTTTAAGGAAATCCAGAGATCAACATTTAGATTCACTCTCCCAGCGAGGCAGTTTAAATAAGAGACAATCTTTTAATATGACGCCACATCTGTCTGCCCACCCAGCAGTATAGATGGGTACACACCACAGGCGACTGGCAGCTTGCGTGCGGTGGCGTAACTCGTGGATACTCCCACTTCTGGCACGATGTCTGACCAGTAGGAAGAGTAGGCCACATTCACTCGAGAGGGGCTCTCCTGGGCTCCCTCTGGTGGACGCCCTTGCGCCAGCAATGCCGTGCGTGTGTGCGTAGTCGCAGGACTGCAAAACTTTTACCTTTACCGAAGATCGCAACATTTAGAAGAATGTGTGGATGGAAGCTGATATACGCAGACGGCAAGGCCAACAAATATCCGCCTCTGAAGCAGGGCTTCCCCCTTGGCAAGAGCATGAGGAGAAAATGGCCTCAAGTCCTAAGTATACTCATTTGGGCTCTGAGAACAAGAGAACCAACCAGATGAGAAGTGGAGAGTACAAGTTTTCTAGAAAGTAAGGGAAGCATGCTCTGCTGCTGACTTGCACTGGAGATTCGTCCCGCTGTCTGAATACACGGACACCCGACGTGAGGCTTGATTTGGATAAGAGTTCTTCTCGGAATTGCAGCGCTAAAGAAAAAGTCCATAAATGAACAACATCTCATTGCTCACTCACTGGCAATGATGAACAAGCCTCCGCGAAATAAGAGAGTAACAAACAAATAGGTGGCGCTGTGGTTGGAGGCCTCTCTGCTGCGTGTGATTATAATGAGATCAGCAGAGCTAATGATCTCGTATAGCAGAAGGAAATGTGGGGGGGGGGGGGGGAATCCACAAAATCTATAACCTTACCGTTCGTGATGATTTGTCTTTTATCAGTAAACTGACTGTACACTCTGTCTGTGTTGCCAAGCAGATGAGGGAATTATCAATATGAAAATGTATTCCTTTTGTGTACTGAAGGTTCATAACCATGACTATCTCGTTCATTTTGTAAAATTAAATGCAAATTTGATTTGACAGCTTCAAAATACACCGAGTGAAAACAGAAAATCATCCTGGCAACAGCAGCACACACATCGAGCCATACATAATGATTGCTGTGAGCTTTATAAAGATATTCAATGATTTTTCCCAAGCAACAAGTGACCTAAAAAATGAGTCTGCAGCAGCAGAATAAATAACTTGCCTATTTCATGCATTAGCGCAAGTTAAACTCGTAGGCTTTCGCAACCAATATCATCCATAATAGAGTTTTTTTGGGATTAGATCGCGTAAATATATAAATGTGTCGTTAAACCCGCCACCCACCCGACACAGCCAACTAGTAAGGGTTGTCACATAAACAGAGCGTGGCCAATTCGTCATGAGTACAGCACTAGCCGGTGTGATGGAGAGCAAAGCCACAACATATACAATCTAAGTACGACGTTTCGCCAGTAATTACAACTAGCTTCATCAGGCAACAGCCAGATTTAAGGAACGAAATAAGGAGGGGGTGATATGATAGCGATGTTGATTCCAATTCAGTAGTTTTCGAATCATTTTTCAAATGCGGTAATTTTTTTGACCATGATGCCAGCACTCAATGACTTTACAGGATCTTTGTGGAGCAGGCAGCGTGCATTTTTTTTGGTTAACACACCCACTGTTCCAGCACCGCCGATTAGTATGGTTGACTACGTATGGTGAGAAAGAAGCTAAACATACATACGGCATTAATCAGGGCAGCCGGAGGATTCAAACCCTGAACCTCTGCAACAAGCTGCTAACGCCCGACTGTTGGTAAATTCTTAAATTGGTAACCTATTACTGTATATTGACACTTTTCATCTACCAATGTTCTGTGAAACCAAACCTCAATAATTACTGTAGATATATTTAATATTTGAAAACACGTCACAAATGCGCAATATAACTTGAACTCCAGTACTTAGAATTCTTGGCCTTTATGCTAAACCTTAAAAATGAATGTCTCGGACATCAACAACAACAGTCAGAACAAATGGGCACAAACAGTAACAAGATTAATATTAACTATGGGGTAGAACTGAATATTTAATTTCTGATTGCGTATAAACTCAAAAACAAGCCAGAAGAATGGAAACCAATATGAGATGTCAGGACTGTAAAGTCTTACCGGCAAAGACTCACAAATCATTCAAATCCATCGACCGATTTATAACGTTTCCGTGACTGGACCGGATAACGCCTCGGATGGTCAGAGTGCCCTCTCACTCACCAGGAAGATGGAGCGCAGGTTGTTGCGGAGCGTGACGGCGATAATGGGAAAGTTGGTGCTGATGGTAAACACCGGGAAGAGGCCCAGGAAGTAGCGGACCCCGATCGGCGCGGAGGGGTCGGCCAGGAAGTTGAGGGTGTAGAGGTCCTGCAGCGCGCCCGTGGGGTATGCGAACACGGCCGTGAACGCCAGCAGGCTGTAGAAGGCCAGCACCAGGGCGTAGGCCGAGAGCGTCACGCAGCCCAGGCGCCGCTTGTCGGACACGGGCGTGAGCAGCGACGGCAGCGAGTGCTGGCACATGAACGAGTAGATGCACACCCCGAAGAGGTTCGGCACGCCGCTCAGAGTCCCGATGGCCGGGTGGCCCTGCGCCTCGCCCTTGCTAATGTGCAGGATCGCCAGCACGATCATCATGATGAACGCTGCAGGGACACATGGGCAACATGGGGCGAGTGGTGGGGGGCAGGGGGTGGCGGCAGGGGATGAGAGGCGATGAGAATGGCAGTGGCAACCAGGGAGACGTTGGAAAAGCAACCTAACTTTTAAGCAAGGCAGAAGTATCGCGCAGAGAGATTCTGTAATGCTTTCTACGATGTGTTGTCCTTGTAGCACTGGTTTATCATCTCCAGATTTTAGGATACGTTTGATCAATGTGTCTGTTTTTTGAAGAGTAAGTCTCAAACAGCAAGACAGCTTGATAGTAAAAGCTTCGGGCATATTGGATCAGCCATACGAGAGTTATCATGACCCCGTTACATATAGATGGGGAGAGTTAAAGCATAAAATAAGTCGCCATTAGTTGGGAGAACATTAATAAAACGTGAACTTAAATGATCAATTGTTGACTGCTCACACAGAACAGCTTTATAATGAAGCAGATCCTTCACAATCTAGGAGGAAAGACCGCTTGTATATATTGTTCTTCATGAGGCCGGAACCATTGCAAACATCTACAATTTCGCGTAAAAAAGCTAAAATCTCTATCCGTAGGGGTGCGCAAACAGAGATGCATTCCTTCTGTCGATGCCGCTGTGGGGGAAACCCAACGATAGTCAAGAGTGAAGTGCCGTACGTGCGTGTTAAAACAAAAATTAGCGCTTTCACATTATCACTGCACATTTACAGTCTACCATGCAGATTTTGCAAAACATGCCAAGAGTGAAAAAATGGAAATGAACAAAAGCAATTATGCTTTGCAGCTGTTAAATGTGAAGAAAACAATCATGACTGTACGATACCCGATGCCTGTGCGGAAGATGGTGTCACGTTTATTTTTTGCGAGACAGAATCGTGCCTTATTGATACAATTGTTCATTTATAGGACAGATCAGAGGTGAAGTAAACACGCACTGAAGGAGGATGAAACTACTGTCTGGTAACCTTCCCCTGCGCTCGTTTGCCCCGCCAGCCAACAGTGAAACCTGCGGTGAGGTCAGTGCACAACGCGCCCGGCCACACAAAGGCTTTGTGTGGCCGTGCGCACGATCTGTTGCTGCCCGACAGCAGGCGCATGATGAGACCGAAGGTGATAATGGGGTAATTTAATAATTAAGAAAGTCCAACATCAAAAAGGTCAAGGTTGCAACAGTTGACAGCGCTACACTCACAACATTGCTTCTTGCGTTTCTAGAACCTCACAAAAGAAGCAATACACATTAATTAGTAACAGGTAGTAATTAATAAGTAACACAGAGCTGTTCCCTTCTGGGCATTCAACAAATCATAGCACGAATGGGCAAAACTGTAATACAATGAAGCTTTTGTTTAGACATGGTTCTGTTTTCTCTTGACCCTGTTTTGGAAGGTTATATGCAAATGAGAAAACGTGATCATCAGAATGATGGGGGTTGCTAAATAAATATTATGGCCAGTTCGATGTAGTGATTCAGTGCAAAAGTAATGAATTGAGATGAATGTGTACAAGGTTGGAACACTCCAGGGCGTGTGATTGCTTGCACAGGTTTATTTGTGATGTTTATCCCAAATGGGCCAAACGCCCCGCACATTTCGCGGGGATAATGTACTTGTCCGCCCAATTTACTCGCTTATTTATTAAAGTAATTCGAAAAGGCAGCTGCTCCACGTATAAATAATATCTACCTCCTGGATCCAAAACTTTACGGGACTATTATTCGAGTCAACCTTGAACGATCCAAAATGACAAACAATTGCATCTGCAGACAATTGTGCCTTTAAAGGATAACATTAATTATTTCTCCTTCGTATAAATCAACACTCTGCAAAAACACATAAAAGGCGACCTTAAAAAAGCACCTGGCCATTTCCCTGTTTTGCGAGTTCCCGCTGATTGCAGAGCAAATCTAATTCACAGTCACTGCAGCCCCATTTTCGCGCTGCACCTAAGCCACTCAAATGGTTTTTATTATTTCTATTTATTTGTTTAGGCTTTCATTTGTAAAAGCTTGGGTTACTGCATACATTTTCACTGAGGCAAATGCTGCTTTCGCAGTCTACACAGGCCAGGCATAATGGTATTTCTAATCATGGATATTTCCATAATATTCTTGATAGTATATGTGGTTGATAGTAGAGCAGCCTTTACTAAACCTGGCTTCCTCATGCGGTTGATTGGCTTTTAAATTTCCATTGTTCTCTTCCCGATGATGTTGGTGGAACTATTGATAATAGTTAACATTCCCTAGAAGGGTTAAGAGGTGTGCCACTCTTTAAGTGCAATTTTACCAATTTATTTGAATCGCAGAACGGTTGAGGAATCATTCCACGAGTGAGGTTTTTCAATTCTAAACATTTCGTAAAATTGAAATTTAGTGAATACATAAAAGTAGTGTCAGACAAGGGGGAAAACTTTCGCCAAAGTTGATCAGAGTAACATTCGTGCATGGACCATGGTGGCTGTTGAAACTCCACGCTGAAACCAGATTCTCCCCAAGTGTGTATCCCAACAGTGCCATACTCAACAAGAGCTGTATTCCAACAGTGCCATACACAACAAGAGTTGTGACGTGGACAAACCGGCCCCCACCATGGGACATCGGTGCACAAAAGCTGCATAGCTCATCGGATTTCTCCTGCATTCTAGATCAAGATTCTGAGTAGAAGTTGTGTTACTATACAAATGCATGTATGCCCTTCTGTGTTGTTTCAAAGTCATGCTCAAACGAGCAATGAGGTGGTGCTCAACTCTGTTGGTGGCCCTAACTCAGCGGTGGAAATTCCACATTCCCATGGCTTCCGCATTGGACGATCAAAGCTGACTTCCCACAAAGCGGTATTGTCATTGTATTGACCCTGAAAGTCCAAGTCGATCACCAATTAATGACTCTGACCACTGTGCCAACTGGCTGCAATGCTTATGTTCAGTAAATACTATTTTTATTTTATTTTACAAAGGATGCACACTGATACTTAAGCACAATATCTATTTGAAAATGTACATTTTAAAACACTCCAACTAACTGTACTGTGATCTGGGTCGCATAGCAAATCCACGACCCTTAATAAATCCACTGCCCGATAAAGGCCTTTCCAAGCCATGTTGATCATGGGGATTACTTTGCCATACCTCACTGTGCTAGTCAGTGTGGGTGGGTGAATTGCGATCTGGGATTACAATGGTACAAACGTGCACTTGGTAATCTGCAATCAAATGCATTCCAACTACATAAAGAGTCCAAGAAAGACTGTTGTTAGTTGAGACTTAAATCTTTCAAAGACACTAGACTACGATGCTGATAGCAGCTATTACAATACCACTCACTCTTCATTGAATTTATACTGCAACTCCTCGCAAACAGAATCAGAATCTTTATTTAAATTGGAGGAATCAGATGAGCTATGAAGCTCTTTTTCACAGATGTCCAGTAAAGGTGGGTGAGCAACGTCAACCAAGACCTCGATGTCGTTGAATGTGGCAGTGCCACATTTCTATTCCACTGCGCACCGGTTCAGGTCGGACTGCGTGGTGCTTTAGATCAATAGGAAACCTTTAAGAAGCTGCAATGTTCAAATAATAATAATAATGATCACGCCTATGAGTTCACCTGCATTATTTAATGAGAGCAAACGCACAATGGACCAGAGCTTCACTACGTCTCCTGGACAATAACATTTGATTTAAATTGAACTCTGAAATCAGCGCCTTCAACGACCCGGCCACCTCAATCTTCAAGCCAGACGACCTTGACGCAATCCTAACCGTTCATCGTGAGGCTCGTAATACCATGGGGTTATCCATGAACTTAACTAGTTGCAAATGTGTCAATTTTCTTCTGGGGGAAAAAAAAACTTTGGTGAGACGGAACATTTTGCAGTTAAACCGAGCAGCATTGAACATCAGTAATGGTTTTTACAGCAGGGTTCTTGAAGAGGTTATGAGGTGACATATTTGATTCAATGCTACATTAGCTTTGCTCTTTAAATTACTTTGTTGTTATGGCTGCCGGAACACAAACAAGACAAAGGCTCCAAGATGACAGCACACGGCTTGCTCTGCTCTAATGCTGGTGCCTCGGCAGCGCTGCAGAACAAGGGCAATCTGAGCACACGGTTGTTCTCCAATAGCCGTGATGGTGGTCATTAAATCGAGACGTGTAAGGGTCCAACAAAGCAGATGTCCTTCCTGGCAATGGTGTAACATAGCCCTGCCAACAATGCTTTGTATCCTGCTATAATAACACGCATATGCTTACAAATAGTATTTCTTAAAAATATATTATCATTAAACATTTTTAGTTTTCAGTATATTTATTCTGAAAGAGCTTGCGTGTCCTATTTCTGAGAATTATTCTTTTTGGTATACCTAAAGATTATTTCTTCATTATTACAAATTTAATTAGTCAAGATTGTAATTAGGACTTTAGCAGAATCACCATTCGTTATTCCTTCACCTACTTACCGCCTATTATCAATCTACTGTTGAAGGCCTTCCCCTTGCCTTCACCTAGCACCTGCACGTGAACCTATTTCATCACTCCATCTCCAATGACGAAACTAAAACTTTCCTTTTCATTAAATGCATGTTTCTAAACGTGGAGGGAAAAACTGGAGGACACACAAAATCCATGCGACCACAGGGAGAGAGACATGCAAACTCCAAATATACAGTCATCAGGGTCGGGACCGAACCCACGACCTCCTGTATACCAGGCGAGGTAGTTAACATCTCATAGCCACCGTGGCCTCCAATTTTGCCTTAAATTGCCTTCTGCACACCGTAAAATGCCATTCAGACAGTAGCAGACCACATATCCCAAGGACGGACCTCTAGAATAAATGAAAAATACTCAACACATTCATGAAAAACCCCCGTGGCCTTAAAAGTAAAAGTAGATAATCAGCGACATTTTGGGCAATGGCGCTTCATCATCGCTCGTAAATAGACGCGCCGGAGTAACAGAGTGGGTACTAAGAGTTGGAGACTGAAATTCAGACGAAAGTGTTT